GGAATTCATTTGTTTAGTCAATTACCAAAATTTGGATGATTTTGAATATTCACTTGAAAAGTTATCAAAGAAAAACATTTTTCATTTTGTAACTTCGAGGGCCCGTAACTTGGTTACGAAGACTTTTAGGAAAAAAAGTTATATGAAGTACTGGTGATATTTTGACCCCATCTATACATTCCCGAGAGGAAAAGAGGAAGTCCAGGGACACCCTGTATAAGTACTCAGTCTCTCTATGTGGATAACTTTAGACTAGCTTCTGGGTGACAGTGGGATTCTGTACACCAGATCTTTTATGTTTATGGTTACCAAGTGAGGTCCACGCCATGGTCTCTGCAAACCTTTCCAACATTGGGGTTGGTAGAACTACACTTCATCGCCCTTCTTGAAGCTCACCAGCAGGGAATTTTTGTCAAATCTTATCTTTATCCTATCCGGTCCGGTCATTCACATACTCTGAAAAAGGTACATCTTGAGATTCATCAGATGTACTGCCATAACATCAGAAGCTTCAGTTCTCGATCAGTTAACAACATGGATGGTGTGTAAGCTGTCACATCATGTTGAGAGCTCCTGTATGTGAACAGGAAATCTCACTAACATTCACCGTTTGGCGTGGTAAAGATAAACCTTTGATTGTCCGAACGTGAAGCACATAGAAATTTGAATGGCTAGATATTTTGAAACTAACAAATCTTGAATTATTTTGTTCTTCCACTTGATTGTTCATTTCAATTGAAAAGTTTTTTTAGATCGCTACGTCCCCACAGAAAATATAAGTAAATGATAATTTCTTGTTATTGTATATAACAACTGTATATAACAAATGAAAACCATTGGGGTACAATTGAGGGTTGACAATGTTGAGTACTGTAACAAATTATAATAATAATAATGGTGGTACAAACAAAAATTAGAATTGAAAAAATTAGGAAAACAGACTAATTGAAAACATTCTTCCTTCACGTTTTGGAGTTGGAGAAATGATGTTGTTTCATGTTCGATACAATTCTTTCAAAATTGGGACTTTTTGATGCAAGAGCGATTTGAATACAGTCTTCGGCGTTTAATCGATTTCTGTTCTTCGTTTTTATGTTCATTAGAGTGGAAAAGCCTTGTTCGCACAAATGTGTTGTTCCGAATGGCAACAATTTTCTAACCGCCTCTTCATGTGCAATTTTGAAAGCCTTTGCAGCTTTTGACATCCAAAACGACGGCAGATTTGATTTACTCTCAAATTGAATACGTCCTTCAGTATTAGATCGAAGTTCAACAATTGCTTCTGCCAAACCTGAAGGTTCTTCTGGTATCATAGCAATTTCACATTTGAAAGGATCTACAATCCAACTGACAGTACGTGTATCAAGATCTGAAAAGTAATCTGAAAACCGCTTTCTGAGTTTGATAAGATGTCTTACAATTGTATCCTTGATGTCAGCAAAAGTAATATTTTCGCAAACTTCCAAAAACGCAGATGACCTTGAAAAAGAAGCTATCTTGTTCTGTTCTACTTTCTGTCTCCAATACTGCAGCTTCAATCCAAACGTTGACAGAATTTCTCTCGCTGAAATGATATTAATATTCTTTCCTTGTAATTCTTTGTTTAATATATTTATACTCTCAAAAATGTCAGTCAGATATGTGAGATATGCAACCCAGGAAGAGTTTTTAAACTTATCTGCGAAAATATTTTTTTGATCAACCATAAAAATTTCGACTTCAGTTTTGAGAGTCCATACTCGATTTAGTACATTTCCGTGAGAGAGCCACCTTACTTCTATATAATAAAGTAGGTCCGTATATTCCGCTTCACCGTCCTGACATAATTCACGAAATAGCCGAGTGTTTAGTGCATGTCCCTTGATAAAATTTACAATCTTGATGACATCATGCATGACGGCTTCCAGTGTAGGTTCTAAATATTTGACCATAAGGGCCTGGAGATGGATTATACAGTGAGTAACTTCAATATATGGGTTATTTCTTTTTACGAAAGCCGAAAAACCATTAATATGACCCAGCATAGCTGGAGCTCCATCCAAAGATACAGAAATACAGTTTTCCCATTTTGAACTTTGCGCATTGAAGTATTCATTTACTTTATTGTAGACATCAATTCCACGAGATCTCAACTCGAGAGGAGAATAAAAAAGCAATTCCTCTTCAAAATTATCTGCACCTTTATAGCGAACATATACCATTAGCTGTGAATTGCTACTAAAATCAGTTGTCTCATCAAGCTGAATAGCAAAATATTTAGCCTGTTTTAATGCGAAAATAACCTGTTCCTTCACATTTTCTGCTAATATAGAAATTCGTTTTTTCACAATTCTCGCAGACAAGGACACTGAATTCAGTTTCTTCGCTTCTTTTTGACCATACATAATCTCTGCCATTTTCACAGCAGCTGGTTTAACCAAATCTTCACCAATAGTGTATGGTTTCTTATTTCGAGCAATCAACCAGGTTATTTCAAAGCTAGCCCTTGATGCTGAACGCTGATAAAATGTACCAAACAAGTTGCTATACAATCTTTGTCTTTTAACAGATATTTCAAAATTTTCAAAGTATTCTCGCGGTTTGGAAGACAGGTGTGAATGCAAATTATCTAAATATTTCTTCAATTGACTTTTTTTGAAAGATTCTGAAGTCAGTACCTTCATACATACAACACACTGTGGTTTCATTGTACCATTGTCTTCTATTTGTGTAAAACCGTAATCAAGGAATTCGCCTTGGTATGTTCTTTTTCTATTTGCTGCCATCTTAAGAGAGACAAAAAATAATAGTTCTAAAATACTTGAATTAAATTTTCAAATTGCGGCTTACCTTGATCGATATATCGATGATTAATGTCAGCAAGTAACTAGTAAAAACTCGCTCTCTGTCTCGTCAATGTATTTGTATCTTGAATATTCAACGGAATGGTTACTCCAAAGTGATTGTGAAACAGACTTTGGCTGGAAGACAGCAAGAGCCTCGCGAGAAAGAGAAGCCGTCACAACCAGTGCTTGCACTTCCCTATATCAGAGGATTGTCGGAAAGGATAAGAAGAATTGGGTCCAAGTACAACATCAGAACCTGCTTCAGAATCGGAAACACCATCCGTAGCAGCCTCACCAGAGTGCGATTTCAAGAATTGCATTTACCGGATACCCTGTGAGTGAGGCAAATCCTATATCGGTGAAACTGACAGGCAATTGCCGAACACAAGAGAAACACATAACTAGAAGAAACCAGCAAATTGGGAATAGCAGAACATGTTTGCATCATCAACATAACACAACATCCACGGGGAGGAACACTGGTTTAAAAGAAAGTTCAAAGAAGCTGCATATATGTTATCCAACGACGCATTTAGCCAAGCTAGCGTAGAGATACGCAACATATGGAAACTTGTAATCAAGCGGAAAAACGATCAACTTTCGCTGAAAGGTTGACTCCCGCTGAAAAGGCGACTCCCGCTGAAAGGTCGACTCCCGCTGAAAGGTCAACTTCCGCTGAAAGGTCAACTCCCGCTGAACCGGTAAAGCGTAGAGAGAGAAGAGGGTATAGGTGAAAGCGCTCGTATGACCTATAAATAGGTTTCTCGCGGAGCAATAGTCCAGTAATCACCCGAAGACGATTATGGATATTAACAATCGAAACATCGTGAAGTAACTTGGTTTGAAATCTTTTTATTGCTTTAATTTTTTTTAAATGTTTTGCCCATTTTTATTTTTATTCCATATTATTTCTTCTTTACTCTGTGGTCATTTTCATTGTTTATGTTGGTTATTTCATTGTTTAATTTTTTTTCCATTTCACGTTTTAGTTGTTAACATAATTGATATTTCAGCTATTGATTCTGACTTTATTTGTTACGTTTTTACAGTTTTATCCTATGACTATGATTGATGAGGAAATTACGTACTGGAAAAAATTTTTGTAATTATTGAATCACTAGCAATAAGAGGATTACCATTTCGAGGAAATTCAGAACGAATCGGAGATTTTCATAATCGAAATTTATCAAGAAAAGTAGAGCTTCTGGCTGAATTTGATCCATTTTTGTATGACAATTTGAAATTGTACGCGCATCCTGGTAGTGGAAATACATTACATTTATCTAAAACAATCCATGAATAAATAATATTGATGCAGAATAAAGTATTACAACAAATTTCTAGTGAAGTGCAATCTGCTAAGTATTTTGGTATCAATTCTGGATCATACGCCTGATTTTGCACATGTCAATCAGCTTACTATAATTATTAGATAAGTATGTGATAACGTTGAAATTGTTGGAAGGTTTCTAGAATTTATACCAAATATCGGCCATAACGCTGAAGACATTGAGAATGCTTTGTTAAAATCTCTAGAAAATAATGGTTTGAACATAATGAACTGTCGTGGTCAATCTTATGATAATGTTAGGTATTTATTCAGGCCTTCAAAGACGAATCAAAACCATTGATCCTTTAGCAGATTACGTTCCTTGTACTGCTCAATTTAGTAGGATCATGTGCGGTTGAATCCATCACAGAAGCAGTCGACTTTTTTTCTACTTTGCAATACAAGAACTATATAATTTCTTTACTATATCTACTCATCGTTGGGACATCTTAGTGCAGCGAACAAATTAAGGAGTCAAGAGTATTTCTCAAACTTGTTGGTCTGCTCGACACGATGCCTGTTACGCGATAGAAAAAGAATGGTCTGCAATAATTGATGCACTGGAATTTAGAAAGAGCAATTCTAGTCATTGTATGATTCGGAAATCTCAAGCTGATTTATCATCCGTTGTACAGATCTATAGTTCCCTGGCTCTATTAGAGACAGATAATTTTCTGAATATAAAGAAAAAGCCAAAACACTATCTGGTGTATAAGATTATTATCTCTTCTCTTCGCAAAAAAACTAAATGGAAGAACATTTTTTGTGGACAAGTAAATGTTTGCATGAATGTTCATCACCCTATTCTAGATACTTTGAGTATGCAATTGGCCGGGCGTAGAAGTGCATATGAAAATCTTTACGATTTTTTGATAATTCATAATTGATACGAATTTCTTTGATAATTCATCGGAAATAGGTAAAAACGAATTGAAAATATTGCCAATAAACTAGTTAATGAGTATCTTGACGATTCAGAAGAGACATTAGGGAATTAATTTATTCATTTACAATGTCAGCTCAAAGATTCTTCCACAAATACGGAAGATGTACACTCTGCACAAAATATATGCAATGTATTACATTCGAGATGTTTACCTAAATATGGACATTGTTTCACGTTTCATTTTGAGTATTCCGGCTTCCAATTGCTCAGGAGAAAGATTTTTTCTAGTTTGAAAAGAGTAAAAACATATTTACGTACAACTATGGGCCAAGATAGACTTAATGTTCTTGTATTACTATCTATTGAAGCTCAACTAGTTAAAAAAATTGATTATGATGATATAATTGATTTTTTGTGCTGACCAAAGGCAGGAAAAATAAATTTTCAAATTGAATAAAAAAATATTCATTTGTGTAATCTTCATTACTTTTGTATCTGTAATGTTCATTATTTATAATTAAAAAACATAATAGAACGAAATGAAGTTATTTCAAATTCAAAAAAAATATATTGAATCAAAATTGATAAAATTTATCCCAACATTAAGGACGAAGAGATGAACAGGGCCTAGGGCGGCATCAAGCCTAGATCCGCCACAAAAAAAATCTGTTTTTCCGTTAATCAGCTCAGATATACATATCTCTTTCAACTTTTCGGAGAACCCGGGCATCTTCCACCGTATACGCCAGTGTCATTCTGTAAAATATTCACCTTCAGAGTAGTTGTTCAATGATTTTTCATCTAGATAGATGAGAATCAAGAAAAATGGAAAACAATCACCCCTTGCCGCACATTTTCTTCATAACTAGGCAGAAGGGTGAAATCATTTATTTACAGGAGCCACAGCGGCGTTTTGAATTCAAGTAAAACAACGGCAGAAACAAGGCCTACTATTTCACGGCACAATACGCGCCGAAACGGGAGTTTGTTAAACAAAGAAAATGAAGTGAAAGACGAGAGTGAATGGAATAGACTTCGTGTTTTGACTCGTAATGAGACAACAATTGCCGGAGAACAATGAGCCGGAGAGTTGATTATTTTGACTCGAATTGAATGCTATTTGATTCAATTTTCATTCAGGAAACGTTCTCCGTGTAATCCGAATTTTCTCGTTTCCATTATATTCAAATTGCGTTCTCTGTTTTATTCACCTAGGATGGATTTACTATGCATTGCAAAAAGGCAAAGCAGTAAATATGGTTTTCTTTTTTAAATAGATATGTTTACTAATGAAAAGAGAAATGAAAATTTCTATGTTTTTTACCACTTTTATTTTATAAAAGTATAAGTTTGAGAATGTCCATATAGGACGAAACTGCAGTAACGTTAGTTACAAATAAAAGTGGTAAAAAACAGAAATTTTTATTTCTCTTTTCATTATGATCTCCTACCACGTAGAAACGGCTACATCCATCAATTTATTGACATGTTTACTCTTTTCCAACTCTTTTCCAACTCAATGAAATGTATCCGAATCTACCGCCAATGAACCTCAAGAAATTTATACAATTTCAATATGTTTGGATAAACTTTAAACTCGTATAATTTGGATTGAACTTCCTTAGGTAAGTCGTTTAATCCTCAATTATACTTTCGATTTGGTCACATCAGAATAGATTTACCAGAATGTGTTCTATATTCATCCCCGATCTATTCGCCGCTGATGAAGCAGCGTGTCTCGTGCTGTGTCCTTTAAAAATTGCAGTATCCACCTCTTTTTGTCGCAAACCCTCTTTTATCCATCTGCTCAGAGTTTGTGACGTGGCAGGGTGGTGAGGTTTCTTAACTGTCAAAATTAAATGCTCATTAGTTTCTTTTCGAAGATTTTTTGTTTTCTCGATATAGTACCTATAAGATGGAAGAGGCCAGACATAGTTCCGGTTTTTCCCTGAAAAATGGAAATTGTAGCATTGGTTGTGGATTTTTAGGATTGGAAGTTTTAAGGATGTCTGTTATATGAAATTCCATTCTATCTTTTAGAATGAGAATATTCTATAAACGAATAGTGCTTAATGTCTGGACTCTTTGCGCAGAAGTTAAAGCCAAAAGAAGTGTCAACCTCAAAGTTAATTTCTTCATATCCAAGGACTCTAGTGGAAACAGACTACGTAGGTGCTCCAGAACTGGTTCTGGGTTCCATATTTCCTTGTATCTGGGGAATGTTGGTTTAATTCAAAATACTCCTTTCAGAAACCTGTCCACTGTACATTTTCCAGCTTCCGAAATTAGATTCAGAGCCGATCTGCTGGTATTTATGGAAGAATAGTTTGCTCCCTTTTCCAGTTGGCTCTTCAGAAATTCTAAGATATTTTTAGTTTCTGGGTGGAATATATCTTTCTCACCCATGCAGAATTTCCACCACTTAATATAAGTCGTGTTATATTGTTTTTGAGTATTATGACTCAACAACGCTGTCATGGTGTCTATAACTGATGTAGGAATCTGCTTTCTACTGAAGGCTTCCCTGATAAAATGGCTGCTCCCAGGATAAGCTGCCTCCAAAGCGGGTGGGGTTTTCTGAAACGCGACATAAGTACTGAGGGTTTTTGCTCAAATATGAAAATGTCAGAAACAATCATAGATTCTAGTTCGGTAAATTATGGTTGTGATTTCCATATTGGAAAAACTACAATGACTTCTGCATTATTGTTCTCTATTTTCCTGAGAACTTTTGGAATCAGTGAGAAATGTGAAAATATATATGCTTTTGAATTTTTCCATGAGAATGTAAAAGCATCAATTCCTATGCTGTACGGATCGGGATGCCAAGAAATGAATTGCTTGCATTTTTTATTCAAATATGTATGAAAATAAATCGATTTCAGGACTCCCAAATTTTCGTGTAAGCTTATGATATGCCTCTGGGTTGAGACAATACTCTGTTTCAAAGTTTTGTAGCCTTGATTCTTTATCCGCCTCACGATTTTCTACCGAATTAATGTACGACGCATAGATCATTATTTGTTTTTGCTCACACCATTGCCATATATTTTTAGTTAATTCATTCAAATGTTTATATTTTACACCCCCATTCTATTAATATAGGATACGGCTGTAGTGTTGCCTACACGTAGTGAGATATGGCAATTGAAATTATCTTTTGTGAAGCTTTTGAGTCCATAAAAAGCGGCTAATAGCTCTAGGTAATTGATATGGTGTTTTACTTCGTCAGGTTTCCAGCACCCTTTTGCTTTTTGATTGTTACAATAAGCTCCCCACCCTGTAAGAGATGCATCCGTGAAAATTTCGGTTAGGTATTTTTTTGGTGCAATAAAGTTTTTCTGATTATCAATGTTATTCATCCACCAATTGCGATCGTGTGACATACTTTTTGATATTTCCATATATCCATCATAATTTCCATATATCCATCATAATTTCCATGATTGTGTTTGAGAGCGATAAATTTTTCTCTCTCAAACTGCTTTGTATATATACTGAGTGGCTGGACAGATTGATATCAGGAATCCTAAGAATTTTGAAAATGTTCTGATTTTCATTATTTTTCCCTGACGAAGATCTCGTAGAAATATTTTAAGTTTTTCTTTCTTATCTGTGGCTACAAACATTTTCATAGAAATCGTGTTGAAAATAGAACCTAAAAATGTTATTTCGTGAGTGGGAAACAATATACTTTTATTTTTGTTTATTATAAAGCCTACATTTTCCAGAGTTTCGCATGTAATTTTTATGTTCGCTTCACATTCATCTGCCGTATTTGCTATAAGGAGAATATCATCGAGATAAGCAACTGATAACAGTTTTCTGCTTCTGAGATGTAGCAAAATTGGTTTCAAGAGTTTAGAAACTACATATGGGGCTGTACAAAGCCCAAAGCATAACACTTGAAATTCATAAATAGTTATTTATGTATCAAGGGAATTAGGAGGGCCTTAATTACCGATGGCAAAGTTTGCGTCCCGAGGGCCTGTGGCCCGAGGGACAGCAATTGCCTGAGGTTATTAAGGCTCATTAATTCCCGTGGTACATAGATAATTTTATTTCTGACCGATTTCAATAAAATTTTGTTCATTTTTGAAACGGAAAAATGTACCAATTCATTACCTTCCCGGTATATTTGAATCAGGTACCGTTGATTATAGTAGAGTTTTCTTGTTGCTAGGTTGTTGCTATGTTACTTGTTTATAAACAGAACTTTGTTATCAAGCTGTGTTTGCGGTGAAAACGTGTTTTCTACCCCAAATATAATGGAGGATATTTTGAAAAAAGCTGAACAAGCAAGAGAATCATTAATTCCATCGAAAAGTGAAGCCGTATACCAAAAAGAATACAAGATATATCTGGACTGGCTGACACGGAAAAATGTTATGCCAAAAGATGTCACTGAAACTGTATTTCTGGCATATTTTCAAGAACTGGTAAGGAATTTTCTATGTTTTTCGGTAGATTTGGTAGTAATTGTGTTTATTCGTTTCAGTCAGAAACGTATAGTCCGAATTCTTTATGGACTAAATGGTCAATGCTAAAATCGATGGTGACTATACATGAGAAACGAGATATCACCAAGTTCAATGAACTACAGGCTTTTTTGAAACGGAAGAGTAAGAGTTATAAGCCGAAAAAGTCTGCTGTTTTATCTCCTAAAGATGTTATCAGATTCCTAAAGGACGCTCCTAATGATATTCATTTATTGCATAAGGTAATTTTTTTCTTATTTTCCTTTTTGTGTGTATTTATTTCCTTTTTTTGTTATAGGTTGTTTTGATTATGGGTTATTTTGGAGGATGCAGAAGTCAGGAACTTTTGAATTTAAGATATCGGATATAGAGGACCGGGATTCCGTTATGGTAGTGAACGTACCGGAAAGTAAAACTGGTGTATCGAAGAAATTTACAGTTGTGGATGAAAAAGAGTTCTCCGCTTTGCCTTTATTAAGACTTTATATGTCTTTGCGTCCTAAAGGTATTGAACGATTTTTTTTGAGCTTCCGACAAAATAAATGTACATCTCAGCCAATTGGAAAAAACATGTTTGGGAAAATTCCCAGCAAAATCGCAATGTATTTAGGATTGCCAAACTCATCTTCCTATACGGGACATTGCCTTCGTCGCACTTCTGCTACTGCTCTAGCCAATGCAGGAGCAACTATGACTAACTTAAAAAGACACGGAGGTTGGAAAAGTTCCACGGTGGCGGAGGGGTATTTGGAGGATAGCATCGAATTGAGAAATAAAACGGCGCGTATGTTGTCTACTTTGTCATCAGAAGAGGCAGGTACCTCGACTGTAGTGAACAGAAGCTCCAGCCATACAAAAGAAGAAATTGTTTCCAGTGGCGGAAGTAATTTTCAGGGAACATTTCAAAATTGTACATCTATTATTTGTAATGATGTGAATAAATAAAATATGGTTCAGTTTTCATTTCTATTTATTTTTACTTGTGAAAGGTAGAGGGAATTATAAAATCTATAATGTCCCAAGGGAGTTATGACCCTCTTTATTGATAGCGTAACTATGACGATATAAGCTTATAATATCCCGGTCAGAAATAAAATAATTTTTTAATTCGAATCTCAAAAATATTTTTTATGATTTTCATATATGGGGATTGCGAAATAAGCGTCTTTTAGGTCTATGGTTGCAAGGAAAGTATTCTTTGAAATGAGATGTTCGGCCATTCTAGTATCTTCTAATTTGAAATGTACTGACAAGAATTTGTTCAGTTGTTTCAGGTTGAGAATGAACCTATACTCTCCATTAGGTTTTCTTTCTCAGGAAATAATGTGATAAAAATTGGCCTTTGCACATTTCCACTTTCTTTACAGCACCTATTTTGATGAGAGAGTTGATGTTTGCAGAATAAAGTTTTTCTGTTTCATGATTTAACTTAACGGATTTCTGAGACCTGGGTTGGTATGGTGTTCTGTCAAAAGGGATTTTATAATCTTCGACTCAGCTAAGAATGAGCTGATTATCCGTTAGTTTTTCCCACTCTTTGTAGAAGTTCTTTATACTGCCAGCATATTTCTCGTTTATCTCTAGTGTCTGCGATAATATTTGTCCTTGCTGTTGGTTAACGGTTTTTGGGACTGTCTACAACTGGGTCTCTGAGGCTGTTTCTGATTGACTCTCCCCCCTACCTGGTTTGACTGTGACTTCCACTTGCTTCTGCGACTTGGGCGCTGGTAGTTTTTTGCCGAAGAGGTCGAAGGGATAGCTTTGATTTCCTTCACCACACTCTCCAAATTTTTTGCAGCTCTGCATGTTTCTGCAAAATTTTTCCCAAATAAAAACTCATCTGGAGTTTGGTTGGCAGCGACTTTCTGGATTTTTGTATTGAAGTGAAGATAAAGTAGAAATTTACGATGGTTAGAGAGTGAATAGTGAACATCACACAGAATTTTTTTCCGTATCAACTAATTTTGATACTTTATTGTCTACGCCCCCTCCTTCATTGGATTCTAGATACAAGGACAGTGCCGATCCCAGAGCACTAATGCCCTTGCCCAGAAAGGATTGAATGTCGGACAAAAATTTGTCCTTCTTCACATCTAATGGCGCCAGGAGAGCTGTTACTTCTGGATTCAAGCTAGGCGCTTGTAACTCTTGGCAATTTTGTGGTACTTGATAACCCTCGACCAGACTAACCTTTTTTCTTCTTTCAATCCTTGTGCAATGTAAACTTTCCATCGTGAAGCTAGTTCGTTGGAAATTTCGGGTCCGTATATTTTGTCACTCGTTGGTCTTTCACCCAGTATTTTTCGCACTCTTCTCTCTCGGAAACAGCTTGTTCATCATCATGTGACTCTTGCCGGCTATCGCTGCGGCTATGACTTTCAATGCTCGATTCACTATCGGAACCTATGAATGAGAGAAAAGAAAAAAGTCTGTTTATGTTTTTTCATGGCGTATTTTATCATTATTTAACACACAACCGAATTGATATCAACAAGATTCACCTTGTTTAATCAACAAGGCAAAGGTGACTAGACCAAGAATTATCACCCTACATTGTCTATTCAACAAGTGGGTTTTACTTTGTTGTTTCATCGACAATAAAACAGAGCTCCAACAATGTCTATTTCACATGTGAGCTTGTTGTTTTGTGCTATTTTACCACTTTACTCAACATTGTCTATTTCACAAGTGAGTTTCTTAATTTATTGGTATTTCCTAATATTCATGACAGAGCTCCAAAAATGTCTATTTCACATGTGAGCTTGCTGTTAATTTCCATTTGCAATGACTCGATTTGGCCTAGAACAGAGATAATTATTTATAACAGTTATTTACTTGGGCTGATGTCAAATTCTTTTTCCAGTTTTCTCATTTTCCGTTTGAGTTTTTCAAACTCTTTTAATTTGCGTTTATTTGCTTTCTTTCCCATTGTTTATTTTATTCACTTTTTATTTCGACCGGCACGTCTAAGCGCAAGAAGTATAATGACTCAAACCAGGGCCAAGAAACAAGACAAAAAGTTCTTATATTTAAACTTGCGCGTCATAGCTATAGAAAGTATTAGTACAAGGTGGTAAATCTATTCGGATGTGACCAAATCGAAGTATAATCAGTCCTACCTTTCATTCTGCTACATTTCCAGCTTGATGGATCGTTGCTTGATATACAGAGAAACTCACGGTTGCGGAATGAAGTTGAAAATTCAATATCGATATGGAACTGATTATGAAGTTGGATATTGCTTAGAAATTTTGCTGTGATGATCTGGATACTAGGCAATTGAAATGTGTTCTTGATAGAACACATATTTGGTAATCTAAACATTACCGATCTTCGTCATTATACAAAAAAATATGGGAAACTCCGAAAGAAGAGAAAATGAACTATTGATAAAAATGTGTAGTTGACATACAAACTGAAAGAAAAATATTAAAGGGTAATGATATACAATTTCTTCTATATGGAAAACAAACCCAGGTGGGCCTCTATAAGTTTCGGGAGAAAACACTTTATCAACCCCTCAACAAAATTTTTTGGATATTTTTATAAAATCGCACATTCATTTTTCGCGTCATTCACTGGAAGAGACTCTTCTGCTTTTCAGTTCGGGAAAATATTCATACAGTTAGTTAATTTAATAAGAAACCATATAACTTTCTTTTGAATTCCGATACAAATTGTAAAATGGAATAATTTTATTTTTAATATTTCAGCTTTCTGCGTCTTCATCATTATATACAAAAATGTGGAAAGCTACCAAAGAATGAACAAAAGTAGGTAATTTGAAGAAAGGTTGGTTGGGTAACAGAATCAATTAAAAAAAAATAAGTGTTTTCTTGTCAACATTTCGAATTCAATTAAACTCTTCTTCAGGGCTCTGCAACAATGAATTTCTTTGAATATACCTCCCACAAAACTCATACAGAATTCAATTAAACTCTTCTTCAGGGCTCTGCAATGAATGTACCTCCCACAAAACTCATACGATTATTATCGTTTCAATTTCACAAGAAATAATTAGTTCTTAATTGAATCACTCACCAAAAAGGAGTTTCTTCGTGTCAATTAGACATACTAGATACATTAAAAAAAAATAAAAAACATTGCAACAACCAAATTTTCGAGACAACATCAACAGAGAACGACATGAAACAAACGAATGGCTCTATCTGTTTAAACTAGTTAACAAAAGTAATTAATTTTAATATAAACTCTTGTGTAGGTCATGCTTCGAATGGGCTTTTCCTACCAGAAAGAAAAGTCCTAGACGGATATTATATATTTTCGTAAAAATTTTATATTGTATTCAATAACTTTCTTTCATTCTTCGAGAGTTTCCTCGAGTTACTTCTTTTCACTCCTCTGATATGCGATCCAGGATTCTGGCAATATTTATCAACAGTTATCCAGGATCTAGGTGCTTCGATATACTAGCCAGCTGTTCGAGAACTGTCTTCACTTCTGGAATACGACTTTGAGTTCCATCACTCAACAATACGATATGGTTAGGTTAGGTCCAAAATGAGTGGGTCTATTCAACCCTCCACTCCAACCCGCAAGGGTTTATTGTAGCTCACACCTATTCACACTCGGCCAAATAAACCCAGCGTCTTAACAAAGCCGATTAATTTGTATGGTGAGTGGTCTTTCAGGTTAGATGGTAAGAGTACGGCTCTGCCGAACTCTAAAGACCTGATTCAGTCCCCAGCGGAGCAGGCACAAAATATAAGCTCTGTTAATGAGGTAGTCGGATAGTCAAGTTGCAAGATTCCCACCTCGATACCCACGACAACCTTCCCATATGGGGGTTTTTGCACGTCAGCTACACCTGGCAATGCCTTAGATTCAGCGGTGCAGGGCTTTTTCGCCTCTGGTTTTGGTGAATCATCACTTGGGCGCAAACATTTGCTAACCTTCTCATGGGGTTTTGTTCCCTCACCTGAGACAGATTCTGCGTACGCCGATGAAGAATTTGGTACAAGGCGGTTTCATAAAGTACTCCGTTCTTGAGAAGAAGACTTAGTCGTTTCCTGGCTGCACCACCAAACCTTTTTTTTTAAGATCACTTAACAATAACTACAAGCTTGATTTTTTGGTTGGATCCAAATTACAACGTCGACCACAAGCTTTTTTTCACCTTGAATTTTTTGTAATTTGCATGAAGTTTTTTGTATTCGCTTCATTTTGCCTCGATATATTTGAATTTGCCTTAATCTATCCTAATTTGTCTCAATATTTCTGAATTTGTCCTTTAATTTGCCTGGCAGAATCTAGCATGAAAAAGAGAGAAAAAACACATAAAAACTGTTGTAAAATCCTGACGACTCAAATCGTAAGCTGTCGCCCCCATACGAACGACAACTCTCAGAAGTTGAGAAACTTGAGTGAGCTGAGGACTAACGAGGTCTTACCTTTTAACGTGTGATTCCTAACACGTTAATAATAATAATAATAGTTGAGATTAACTATATGACTTAGGTAATTCATTTTAACAGATATATTGTATCTTCAAAGTTGGAATACAATTGTGACGTCCGAACATGCGAAACATGGTTGCGGCTTTGTAAACTCTCAAGTATAAATCTCACATTGAATTGTGCTTTTTCAATATATCATAATTGATTTTCACCAACTATCGGTTGTTTTTTCTGTTTGGTGGTAATCAAATTTTCTAATTAGATCACCACTACGCCCTCTTCATGTAAAGCCAGGAACAGAAAACCCTTTCAAAATTTGATCCTTCACACATAAAATCAGTTTCAGTGCAAAACCCAGGCAATGTTACTACTTGTTC